AACCAACTATTTGGATCAGTAACCATCTGAATATTAATTTTCAGAATTATTTTCCCTATTTTTAGACTGACTTTTCAGTCTGAATTAGAGCTGTTTCCAGTAGTGGTATATGCTACTAAAACTTATATTGTTAAACTAAATCCAAAGGTTAATTTACTTATTACATGTTATATATTTTAAGATTGTTAAGTTTAAATTCTTAACTCTAATATTTTCATTTCTCAGGTAAAATTCTTTGACTCTATTTTAATTTTTTTAAATGAGTGAGTCCATACCAAATTATGATGAATTAAGTATAAAATGAACTCTTATGAGACACCTACAGTGGAATAAAGAATTTAACTATAATATTTTATACTTTTGTAACTTTTATTTATTTATTTTTATTACTTGCATTAAAATGATTTTTTTGTTTTGTGATGGAAATTGATTGCACATGACACATGGAAAGTTTTCAAAGGAGAAAAGACAAAATCCAATGATTTGATATTCAGGTTTAAATAATCTTCAATATTACAATAGAACAAACTAGAGAAGATTTGTGATTTTGAAATAAAAGGAAATTGGTTGACAAAATCCTATACTATATATGCTAGAAGGTGTTCCATACTTGTTGCCTAGGTAAAATATAAGTTTCTATTTACTATCCTCTAAACCAAAATGTTTTTCATAAACAATCATATTTTAAATTCAATTTTTAAGAATCATCTTAAACCTTAATATTGTGGGGTCTTAGTCTCTTTACTATTTAAATCTCATTACAATATCTTACTAGTTTTAATCTAGATGTCTTATTGTTTCTAACAAAGTAATCTAAAATATTCATAATTTGTACAAGCAATAAATGGATATAATTTAATTGATTTATTATATTCATATCTACAGATTCATAAGAAGGCCATTGATAAAAGTATGTTGAATGGAAAGAACAACTTTATATTGATCATGTGTTCAAACATGAATTATGGATTTGTGGTGGTTTTTATTCTCATTCTTACTTCCATGGTTAAATACCCTTTTTAGTCCCTCTACTATAGGAAAAAGCCTTTTTTGGCCCTATACTAAAAAAATCCCCTTTTTGGTCCTTACTATTCACAAATTCGACCCTTTTTTAGTCATTCCGTTAAATTTTAGCTGATGTGGCAGGTTAATTAACGGAAGGTTAAATACCCTTTTTGGTCCCTCTACTATAGGAAAAAGCCCCTTTTTAGTCCCTATACCGAAAAAATCCCCTTTTTGATCCTTACTGTTC